CCGGGGGGCCCCCCTTTAAAAAAAGGGGGGGGGGAAATTTTCTTTTTTTAAAAAGGGGGGGGGCCCCCCCCCCCCCCCCCCCCGGGAATACGGGATTTTTGCCCCCCTTTTTTCGTTTTTGGGTCCCCCCGGCCGAAAGGGGTTTCGATTTTTAAAGGCAAACCCCTTGGACCACAAAATGGGGGGGGGGGGTTTTTTTTTTGAATACAAAAATTTTTTTAAAGGGGGGCGGGGGGGTTTTTTTTTTTTTCCCCCCAAATTCCGGTCCTTTTTAAAATTTTCCCCCCATTTTTCGTTGGGAAATTGGGGGGGCCCCCCTTTTCCCCCCCCCCCCCCCCCCCGCCGCCGCGAAATATTGATGTTTGCTACTGTTTCGCTGCGAACATTTTCCGGTCGATCGACGAACTAGGTTCGCGTGGTTGGAGGTACGATCCCTCGAGAAGTTTGGCGGGGGAAGCTTCGGAGTCCGCCTCGTCAGGTAATGCAGCTGGTATATACGGTAGCGGGGTAACCTCTTGAGGGTGGGGTTTGAATAGGTTGAACAGCCAGAGAGAAGAGAGAAGAGGGGGGCGCCGTGTGGGATTGTGAGCGTTTTTCTTCGGTTTGGATCGACTATCGGCTGTCGCGCTATCGAACTGGTCCAAATGGATGTATGTTAGGCCGCTGTGGTGCCTTTCTCCTTTGTTCGTGGTGCTCTTGCTTTCGACCCGGCAGTGGCTAGGCTAAGGGTCATGTCGCGTAGTGTTTCGGGTTGCGCGGTGTGGTGCTCCCTGCTTTTCCTCAATTCCTCAATTCCTCAATTCCTCGATTCCTCGATTTCTCTGTGCGTCTGCCCCATGTCTGTGCCCATCTGCATGCCAGCCTCCCTCCCTCCCCCCCTTCGTCTGTCTTCCTGTCGGTCTGTCTTGTCATTTGATCTGTCTTCCCGCCGGCCCGTACGGCGATCGTTGTTGTTTTGTTGTTTCTTCCAGAACCGCTTCTGTCATCCTCCCGTCAACCTTCTACGGCATGCACTGGAAGTGGGCGCATGTGAGACTGACCAGACTGTCTGGTTCCGCAGAGGGAGGTAGTTAGTTTATCCGGCAGCGTATTCTTACGCGCGTACAGGTACGCATGCACGATGATACCAACAACAAAAGTAGAGCGGTTTAGATCAAGCAGAAGCGTGCGGCTGATCAGTATATAGCCATGTAGGGTAACGGTCGGTTGGCAGTTTCAGTGTCGGTGAGTGTCGGTGCTGATTGGGTCGCAAGTTTTTAGGAGAAAGAGGGAGAATCAAGGGGTGAGTGTAATGGAGCTCTTCGTTTTTTTGCTGTTTTTTTTTTTTTTTTAGGCGTTGACGACCTGGGAGGACCACGTCACCGAAGCCGGCGCGGAGAACAGCATGACCGTCAAGCGCTTCACCTTCAGATGCGTCAACAGCTACGCGAGGCTCTTCTACCTCGGATTCTGGCAGAGGTGGGTGCGCGTGCCGTGTCCGCGCCCTCCTTTTTTTTTTATATAAATAGCCCCCCTTTTTTGTCGAATCCCTCGTCTAGCCACTTGTAAAATCGCGAGCCTGGGCGTAGGCCTGTGACCAACACGGCTTCTGCAGGAGGCGTGTCCACGCTCGGTTTTCCAGTAACGCTAGCTAGCTTGACGGCCTTGTGGAGTCGCATCGATTGTCCTCCCGCACCTAGTGAGTTCCTGTCAAGCCCTCCTCTGTTTTCTGTCTGCGGTTTGGGGTTGCAATATTTCTGGTTGATATGGTCTCTCCCCCCCCCCCCCCCCGTCTTCATGTGGTAGTTGAAATAAACATATATTTCTCCCGCAGACCGATTAACGAAGCTCGATTACTCCACACCGAATGTTAGTCGAGGCAAGCCACGTAAAGCAATCCCCCCGCACGCGCACGCACACTGCTGTTGTGTCCTGGTGTACGAAAACCTTGACATTCGCAACACGCAGGGACTTGGACGGGCTGAAGGAGATGCTCATGACGGTGCTCATCACTCGGTCTTTTATGGACGCGCTTCAGGTTAGCGAGCCGCCCCATGCATGCCCTATGCCAACGTTCAATTTACCGCACGTAAAAATGAAACTATCAAAAATGCACCGCGCATGAAGTAGGTGTGCGTGTATCCGCACCCCCGGCGCCCTTCCCGCTTGGACGTTGTGCAAAGCCATGGTCGGCATCTCGACAGGGAGGTGGGACTACGCCATTCGACTCATACCCGGTACTGCTGTGGATATTATGCGAGAAAATCATTCAGATTTTTCCCGACGTGGATGTTTTCTTTTGTGGGACGTCAACACGTTTTGCTGTTGTTGCAGCAGACATGGAACCCGAAAAATCGTAGTTTATGTGTACAAGCTACTGTTCCTCTTGTCCACGTTCGTACACGAAGATTTGTGCTGAGTCTGTTGAGTGTGTTGCGTGTGCTTAGCCTCCTTCCTCATTTCATGTGCTTCCCTTTCCTCTCTCTATTTCCCTCTCTCCCTCCCTCTCTCTGTCTCTCTCTGTCTCTGTCTGTCTCTCTCTCTCTCTCTCCTTGTGTCTCTCTCTCTCTCTCTCGCTCTCGTGGTTGGTTGGTTTCTCGCGCGTGTCTTTTTTTTTTTTGCTCCCTCGGCCGCTGCTGTGTTCTGCGCGTTCTTCCATCTATATATATATATCTTTTTTTTTCGTTTCCAGGAGGTGGTGGCGCCGATGATCCAGGTCTACTGGAGGACTCGTCTACAGCGCGCGACCGCCCCAACCGATGGAGCCGCCGCCTTCGTCGCGCACAAGCAACACCATATGCAACAGCACCAGCAGCAGGGGCCCGCTCGCAGGCGAGGGTGGCTGCCGTTCTCATCCCGCCAGCACCCACAAGAACAGAAAAACCGCGGGAACCCCGAGGTGTCCTGCCGCAGAGGGGAGATCGGGGTGAGTCAACGACGCTGGGAGGTGGTTTTGGTCTTGACATCGTGCGCCCGATTGGGAAGGTGCGGCGGTTCGGGGGAAAGCGGGGGGGCTATATAATGGTGTAGAAGGGGAACTAGTAGGCAGGGGGCAACGCAACGGTAGCATGTTGGGACCATGTGATAAGACTAGTCCATTGTCGAGCCCCCGCCCTCGCGAAATACCTGGATGGATAGATGGGGGGTGGGGGGGGATCCGCCACGAAATTGGGGGCGGGGGTAGGGAATGGGGAGAGTCTGCTGCGTGACCCTGGCTGGTTCCGGAAAGTGGCTAAGGGGGAGAGCTGGAGGGGGGCGTAGAGGGTATAGATGGGATGTGTTCGGACGAAAGGCTATGAGTGCAATAAAAGATGATGACGGGAGACCTGATGGAAAGGGCGGAGATTTCGTCGAAGGGACGCAACACGGAACACGCAACAGCAGTCGCGGGCGGCAGACACACGCACTCAAGCCGGTGGTCGGAGGAAGGGGAGGGTATGCATAGGAGCGGTCGTTGAAGAGGCCACAGCACTTGTAGGACGACGTGAGGCACGTTGGTGGTTGTGGCGGCAGAGCGGAAAGCTTAAGTCACGCTTTCTTTTGGGATTCCTATTTTATTTTTTCTCTCTCTCTTTTCGTCGTTGTTCGTCGTTGCCTGATCACGTACGCCCCCCCCCCCCCCCCCCCCCCCCCCCCCCCCCC